CGTGTATGTATAGGCTCTCTTCCGGTCCAATTTCTGAGGTACAAATTTTTTCAAGTAATAATATAATGTTTGCGATCGAATTCCCCGTGGTAGAAAGGTCTGTCACGATTGCAGTCGCCATCGCCGCCAACGTCCTGTCGATTTTGCCTTTTATACTGTCAAAACCAAAACTCCGTTTCGTTCGCGTTTTAATTCCCTCCATTACTGCGAATCCGTTTTAATAATTAACTCCCTCTTTCTCGCTTTGAACTTTTAACCCTCTGAAAAGAAATTAATAATCTTGTTTTAAATGTATACAAATTCGGTTTTACGCGAGCATGTCTCAAAGGAATGTGCTTCGGGGGCGCACGAAACTTTCCCATTAAAAATCTCTACGTCACTTACAAATCGTCCGGAATGACATTGAAAGTAATTCTAATTACTATACACATTTATTATACAGCTGTTCTCTTTTACATAATGTACAACATGACATACGATCAGATATGCCCGCGAACCGACTTCTGAGTAAAACATATCTTTTTATTTTTAACCTTTTTAATTTCTAGCGATTAAATACATTCTGTATATATGTTAATTGGTTATTACTAACCCTTCCAAATTATAATTTTTATTTTTTTTTATCTATTTGCAATCCAACCTTATTTACTTTCGTTTCGAGTACATTATGTAACGTGTACGGTTTTTAATTTATATGGTTTCAAAAGACATTATACTGTGCATATAACGTACATAAAAATTGCGACTTGGTTAATAAATTTTTAAATCTAATATCGATGATAATTGATCAGTATTATTATAACACGTATGTGTGTGTGTGGTGTGACGACGATGGAAAAATAAATAGTACTATGGGCGTACCTATAAAACCAATTGCACGGCAGGTCTGCTGTACGATAATAATAGCTGGTTACATTATACACGTATACATAACACGTATTAATAATATTAAATATATAAATCATTGCGATTGCGCCCGGGTGTGTAATGAATTGCAAAACATTGTTTTACCGCCTCCGGTATGATTATTCGATAATAATCACGGTACATAATATATGTAGGCCTAATTGTACCTCCGTCGAATGTGTAACATAACATTCCCGTTGATTCCGGATCTCGTCTGTTTCGGATTTTCGATCGTTTACTCGAACACACATTGCGCATAAACTTTCCGCGCAAATATATTAGACGTGCGTGTGTTGGTGCATGTATACGTGTCCGTACCCGTATAAAACATATACTCACTTCAACCACTACCGCCCGACAATTACGACTATGTCGATTAATTTAATATTAAATCCTCTCTGCAGCTCGCTCACCGATGCAGCGTGCACACTCGACCGGCCGCCGACGAATCTCAGATTTCGTTTCAATTAACATGGTCCCGGGTCCGGAACGTCGGAGTTTAATATTATAATCGTAAGGAGTTTTGCACGCGTTGCACACACACAGGATACGTGTGTATTAATAATCATAACTCAAAACGGCAAAGCCCCCCAAGGGTTTCTTCGGTGCTACACACGCAAGCGGACGGGGGTAGAAGACGTTGCTGCCGTCGCCGCGCGTTTCGCTCCAGAAATCTTATACTTATTACGTATTCGACCCTTCTGCATGTAACGGGCAAAAGTTTAAAATCCTCTGCCGCCGCCGCGCGCCCGCGTCTACTGCAGCAGCGGACGAAACGACCCTCTAGCCCCGAGGCTGTTTCTCGGGTTATTATTGTTTCACCGCGCCGTCGAATCGGATTTCGATGATGTGCTGCTGCTACTACTGCTGCTGCTGATCCTATATCACAACCCCTTCAACAAATTAGCATGACGGCGGCTGTCGTTTCTGTCGTTGTAACAACGGAGGACCTCTGCTGTATGCCGCCGCCGCCGACACTCTTTTCGGTACGTTTCGCGTGTGTTTATTAAACACAAACAAACGACACCCACCACCGTCGTTACCGTGTCGAGAGGATTAGTCAAATTGAATAAGAATATCATTACGAAGTTCCGGTCGCGAGCAATGACGACGCAACGGGATTGGAGAAAAAAAACCGAATAACGATGAAAATCAAAAGAAAGAAATAGTATACAGTGTATACGGATTTTAATAAAAGAAAAAGTAGTAATAATAATGATAAAATGGGAGGGAAAGAGGGGAAAAACGAAGAATTATCATAATTATCGAATGCCCATAACGTCGGGATTAAATAACAAGAAAAAAAAATCAGACGAGCCGGTAGAATGATAAGGGGAGCTGCTGTATTTAAATTTTAATCAAAACATCCGATTGAATCAATATGTATAGCCAACGGCGGAAATGAAAGGGAACAACATCCTAAAGACAAACAGGACTTTTAATATGCGGGCGCCCGCTATCCGCGGCGGCGGCAGTCCGGACATTCTTCTCGTCGTCATCGCGTACGGTATATATACACAAAGAACGGATTAGACGGAATATATACGATTCCGGAGCGCGCGCGCGCGGACTAATGAAAATTCACCCTCCGCACGCGATCCCGGCCGGCACAGAAGTCAAAGAACGTTACGGGAATTAATTTTCACGATATTTATTTATTTTTTTCCCCGACCTCTCTCTATATCTTTCATTCCTCCGGTACCATCAGCGAGTTCGAAATTTCTGACGTCGCACAGATAAGACGATCGAAATTCGTCCGACACCGCGGATCCGTCAAGCACTTTATCGCGCCTACGTGTACGCGCAAGAGTTTTGCGGTGTTGAGCGATCGGTCCGTCCGTATAATTAATTACAGCCGAGCATAATGTGTTGCGTGATGTCACGCGGTTCACTTGTACTTAACAACGGATCGGCAAGCATATTAATATAACACGTGAGATAACAAAACGACGGCCGCGACAAATCCCTCTCGTCTGCTGGCACAACTTATCTGCACGCGACACGCCGACCGGAATCGTAACGATTTATAATGCACGAGTACGTTTATACGTTCTCGCGCGTGCGTATTGCAACAGCAAAACCGTTTGGGGCGGGTCTGCGATTATTAATCTCGCGGAAAACACTGTTGAATTATATTTTTCGTGTAAATCGTACCCGTTATGTCGTAAACGATTTATTTTGATTAAACGAGCTTATTTTTTTTTTACTTTGAAACAGACAAAGAAATTGAGTGTCACGGAGTGAGAAACTAGCAGACGACGAGCACAAGACCGGCCGCCGGCTGAGTATCGTCATTTGCTCTTCACAAGAACTGGTTTTAAAACATAACGTCGACGGGCGACGCAAACCCTTCCGATCTCCGCGATCCCGGTCACGAACAACATCCCCTTAACATTATTACATTAAATATTTTTACTACGGTATGTGTGCCCGTACAAGACAATGGGACGATGATTTACACATTCGCGCCACGAAATTATATTTCACGCGCGCTATATTCACGAAACGCGTAGTCGTTGACCAAAACTCGTTTATATTACAAAAACCTAAAATAAACATTTTTCGTTATTTTCGTGTTGGACGCTCGTGACGACGTTTTTGACGTTCTTCATCTTCATCTCGGTATGCCCATATTAACGTATATAAATTATTATGCGAATCTCAACGCACGTTGTACACGTGTAGTGCAATACAATAAAACGTACGCGCGACAACACTAAAGTCATACGTCAAAACGGGATTGAACGTGCGTGTGTGATTTTGCGCGCCGAAAAACTGTCGCTTATAATATCGGGTTTATGTTATGTATATTCGAGGTATACACGTATTTTTTCTCTTATTTTCGACCGGAAACGACTTGTGTTTCGCGTCAAGACGAGACGGTACGTTCACTAAACACATATATAGTATAATATATGGCGTATTGCGTGACGAAAACATCGAAAATAATTAAAAACGCGTACGTTATGTCCACAAGACTGTGTGCGCGCACGTCTCATTATGCATGCTCGAGGTACAACATTTATGGGTGCACGGCGGATAGGGACCGGTGCCAGATAACAGGATCGCGCCGTTGATTTATTCGTGTTCATTGTTTGACCGACGTTTGTTTTATACGATTTCCCGGACACGGTGCGCGTAGGCGCTGCGAGCTCGCGAAACTGTACTGTTTCGTAATTTTTGCGATCTGCGTCACGCGACGACCGTGAATCGCGTCTGCAACAAATCTTCTGATATTATTATTCGGACGTACGTTTATATAATATATAAATATTTACATATTATGTAAATATATATTGTGTACGTGTGTGATGGCGGTCGCGTGTTCTGTCCGTGACCCCTCCGCGGGATACTGCCGTCGATGACGTGGTCGTCGGGATTTATACCCGTACGCGTCATCCCGATCCGACGGGACCGACTTAGATGTGTGTGCACGTGTGCGTGAGAGAGAGTGAACACGCGCGTCCGACTGCAGGGACAACATTTGAGTGCAGATGGAAATTAGTTACTTCCGTTTTTTATTATTATTATTATTAGATTTTTTTTTAAAACTATTGTTATTCCGTAATGCCCTCGCCGCGGTCGTCCATCGTTATTACGTTTAACGATTATTACGATTATTACGATTATTATATAACGCATTTGAAATGTCTTTTATACGCGCGATATCGCACCGCGAAGCGAAACGCATTAAACGCGCTGCCCCTCCGCTTGCGTACACATCGACAGCGACAGCAAAGCCTCCGAAATATGCAGATGTACACACCGCTGCCGCCGAGACGTTAAAAGCTTTCCCTCATTAAGACACACGCGGAAAGGTCTTTTTCGTTCGGTTTCCCCGACACAACACTGTATTACTACTGCTCTTAATGTCTTAATCGCTTTGCCACCGCCTCCGCCGCAGTCCACCGTCGAATTTCCGAAATGTTTTATTTATGTGCGCGCGCGTACGCTTTTGGGCAGACAACGGCAGCGGGTATTAATGGAAAAACGGTCGTGGAATAAAACACCGTCGTTATAGCATCATATTGTTATGTTACGTGTGCAATGATATTGTATGAATGTAATTTTTTTCCCTTTTTCCTATTTTACAGGGCCAACGACGAACGAGTGGGCGACATAAATCGAGCGCTGAACTTTGATCAGAAAGCAAGGGATTTGACTTCGCAGAACGGTAAGCATAACAATCGTATAACACGCGTCATCTAGACACTTACCAGTAGCTGCTATATACGAGCTTAATATAGACAATACAGATAACGGGACTTTTTACACGTCACCAGGTTCATCCGAAGGGCACAGCCCCGTGTTGAATCTTTCGAAAACGGGAGGGGATCACTCGGGACCGGCCAGCGATCACTCGGCTGGCGGCAATACCAACGTCGACGACGAAGACGACCTGGACGAGGACGACGACAACATTTCCGACGGCGAAGAAGACGACATCAAAGATCACGGTAAACAATAGCATAACATTCAATCCTGACCATATGCGCGATGCGCTCTCGGTCGGAAAGAATATTCGTTTTTCCTTACGTTCATCGGGTAAAATAATATTACCGTACACAACGGTCGGACACACACGCCCTGCGTATACAATGTAAATGTAATTTATAATTGTCGACAGAGACAAAAAAGTGAACAGGACGGGGATGAGGGGGAGAAGAAAACAAAAAACGAATTATACACAAACCATTGGAAACGAAATAATATCGAAACGAAGAACGTGCGTTCTACTCGAGTGCTTATTTGACACGGCAACGTTCGGTATAATAAAGAGAAAAGCGGAATGGGGAAGGGGGTAGCGACGGCTGTGGCGTGTAACCCGACACGACAGTACGTACTTTTATGATGTACGTTTTCATTCAGTTAAAACGATCGGTTTTGGGTGTATTGTGTTCGTTATTTGTATTTATCATTATTCGATCGGTTGAGTAACAATATACCGCGGTCGATTATGTACTGTATCAGAACGAGGCGGCATAGGTTACGTAGAGGGCCCCTAGAAGAATATTCGTCGTAATAACGATTTACTTATCGCGGTCTTATTTCTTTTGCTGCTCGTTGCTTCCATCGATACTCTAACGATAAACGACCGCACAATAAACTCGCCACTGTTCGATCTGATTTCAGACCTCAGCGACAATCCGGACGTGGGAGGTAATAGCAGCGCGCACGGTAGCGTCACGCCCCCGCCACAGGCGTTGAACTTCGGTTCCGCCGGTTCCGGTGACATGGGGTTGCCGTACATGACCACCGAGTCGTTACTCCGGAAGATACAAGCACTGCTGAAGGCCGCCGCCGACAAGATTCGAGACGACGACCGCGCGTTGAACTTCGAAAAAGGTGAGTGATGCGACTCGAAATCAATCGATAATATGCGACGGATGTAGATTTCGATATTATTATAAACGTTGTTTGTACTCCCGATGTAGTTTTTTTCGTTTACCGCGCAGTGCGATTGGTCAGCTAACGCTCGTAATGTTATATCGTATGATTTATATGTACAATATTTATTAAAAAAAAAATGACAAACTACGAGCGTGTTATATCATTGTAGTAATTAATAACGGTCCGGGTTGTTTCTCGACGATTCGAATATTTACGTCGGTCTCGCTTTGTGGTTTCCTCCATTCCCCCTCTAATTATTTTCGGATACGATAAATAATCAAGGAAAGGCGAGACGATTGCACCTCGACGCGACACGGTCGTTGGTCTTAAAGATCGCCCGCACAGTTATAGCGCATATATGTGTGTAAAGTTCAGTTGTGTGCAACGGCGTACTACGAGCGTATTCATTATGTCGATAATATGTAAATCATAAACTGACGAACATTGCAGGCGTAGGTACCTCCTGCAATCGACTCGACTATGGATTCGTTCGGCCCGTGGACCGCGACGTCGATGTTTTTCACGGGCCTAGTCGATCGGATTGAAAAATGTGTCGATTCTTCGTCGTCACACGTTTGTTTTCCGAACGTTCAACAATAAATTATTCACGACAGCGTACACGACAGATAAGTCGAGACACGCGTGGCGGCGTTATAATTCGATTAGCAACGGTCGTTAAAACCGAGGCGGTGACATTTTATAGGATCGGTCACCGCGCGCGTGCGTTGAATTTTTTTTTTTTCTCGCGATTATTAACTACGTATATAGGTGTATAAGATGTAACTCCTCGTGTATTTTTGATGTCGGACGAAAACACAACAATCCGGTGCGTAATATTCCTCGATCATCGTATGTTATACACGAAGCGGAATTCGACGGACGAGTTCGTGGGACTCATAACCGGTTGAATATCGTGTGCACACACAAACACAATATCGGAAATGTTGAACAGGAATACAGTTGTACACTTGGGCCTGCGCGCGTTGAATTCCTTGCTCGGTCGGTAGTCAACAGTATTGAATATTTAAAATGATCGTAAACCCGTCTAATAGTTTCGCGGGGTCTTATGATTTGTGACGGGTCAGCAGTCGTAGATAGCGGTTCAGAGGTCGCGGGATAGACCGAGTATTCGTATTTTCGATACGCTTAAACAAACACACGCGCACATACGAACAAACGTTACACGCGTCGAGTCGGGTTTTTTTCTGACACGTACCGGTCACGCCCGGGCACGTCGACTTCGGCGTCGTTCACGATAAATCCAACGCCGAATCGTAATTAAATTCGCTGAACGAGAGTGATGTTATAAATATCGTAGTAGAACGCCGTCAAATGATACCAAATGTACCCCAACCGAATACTACGTCGTGCGGTTGACACGAACGATCGTGTACAATATCAAATTGGATCCGTTTCGATCACGCCCAGTCGGAACAAATCGATATAAATTAATAATTATATTAATAATAATAACGATAAAATGTTAAAAAAAAACTTGCCGCGCCGTTGTTGCTGCAATAGTATAGTGTGGGTATAACGCGATAAATTAATCGTCGCGGATTACTGTTATTTCAGCTCTCCGCCTAAGCCGTCACTGCCGCCGCCGCGTGGAGAGACACGAAATAATAATAAAAAAAACAATTTCACCGCGTGCATGTATAAATTATTATTGTGCGCCGGTTTGTTGTGTGTGTGTACGCGCACAGTGTATATATACTCCGTGTGGTGTGGCATACACTTGTATAATTGGCCACTCGTACCATTTATTCCCATCACGAACTGACCTTTAAGAGTCGTGTTCCGCCGACTCTCACGGGAGACGCGATGTTCCCTTCCCCTGCCCCCCTCCCAACAACGATCTATCGTTCCCCGCCGCCCCGGTAATGGATCATTCGTACAAATTATCGTTTTAAAAAACGACCGTTTTCATTAAATTACATATGAAATTATACCGAAACGGATAGACGTAAAAAGACACCTCATCACTACTACCACCTGCGTGTGTTTGTACGTCTGTGTGTGTGTGTGATTTTCGGGTATATATGTGTATTCTCGTTTCTATTTTTTTTTCGTTTCGTTTGTTTGTAGTAAATACAATTCCGTGCGCGCGTTTAAATAACAACAATTCCCGCGCAGGCTTCAATCAATTCCGAAACGTATACTTAACACACACACACTCGCATCGTACGTATATGTATACGGAACAGACACACATAGCACAGTCCCATTTGATTTTGTCGGGGAACGCCCACCGTTTTTGGTCGAAAATATTGAGCCACAGAGAAAACATCTCGTCTTCATGAAATGCCATTTAATTCGGTCGACGTGCGGCGGCGTCGGCTGTTGTGATTGCTGCGCGCACACGGAACCCGAGGCACGAAAATATATAATATACTTAATATAATGACCAAAAAACCTGGTAAAAAAAAAAAGAGACCTATTACTTTGGAAAACAAATGTACGCTCCAAGGCCTGCCGAGTCGAAATTAGGGCTTATTATCGTATATGTACACGCGCGTAGAGGCGCCTGTAATAAAACACGTTGTCCATATATCACACAAGCACACGGGCACACGGGCACATCGACAAATAACACATATCGACGTATAATTTCACCGGTCGATCCGCCGCGGGAGCTTGCGTGCCGCGCGCGCGCTCGCGTTATATAGTTTTAGGGTTAGAACCACGAGCGTGTGCTTGTAATAATATTAAAAACCCCTTCGGGACGACGAAGTAAAGCCAGCGGTGGCCTGTTATCATGTCCTGTAGTCCGATGTCGACGGCACGCGAGACCGTGATGCAACGGTTCCTTAAAATTCCATTTTCGTTTCCGCTCAAATTAAAAAAAAAAAAATTAAAAGTATCATACACGTTTGGCCAAAGAAATTAATATTATTCAAGGTTTTTTTTTCTTATTTTTTTTTTATACTCAAAACAAATTTCTACGGAAAACACTACGCTATTGAAGAATAAAATATCATTCTGAAATTCCGTTTTCGAGTTAGGTAAAAAAAAAGATTTTGTACTCTCGTGAACATTTTTATATTCCATTTAACGACGTCGATGACCACTGGGAATCGTATTATTTGAATGTTTTTACTTAACTTTATCACTAAATTAATTTGATTGTTTCGTATAAAATACTACACGTACGGTATGGAAATTATTATGCAAGCGTTTAAATTGCATGTTTCGAATTAAATACAGTTCTTAGTAGACGATGATGTGCCCGTTTGCCCATGAAAATCAGTTATAATAATTCAACGAAACGCAGAATAATCGATAGAAAACGATAGTTCAATAAATTTGATCGAATCGAAGCTTTTCCGTGCCGACGGAAACGTTATATGTTTAGCCGTTAACGAAAAAAGACAATATCCGATGTGGAGGCGAACCCGCTCGTGAACCATACGCCCATATTCGTTGCATTCGGACGGCGCAACGGTAAGTAGAATAGTACTACGTAAGCGATGCCGTCCGTAACATAACGCGTTTGCAATATCCAACAGATCTGGCTTCTTTCCTACATCGGTCTGCACACAACGTGTTCCGTTCCTTTTTCCTTTCGTAAGCTGCTGAGCACGACCGCCGCGCGCTGCATCGGTCTTGAACTCGCGCGTGTCCCCAGACAAGCGTACCGCGCTCGTACAATACGGTAACCGACCGCGTCAGCAGCAGCGGTAGGTAGCAAAGCGCGACGAGGATACGACAACGATATTCACTTAGGGAGACATTTGCGTAAAACATAAAACGAGCCCGAGGAGAACACGGTGTTTCGCGCGCACATAAATCTGATCGGCACGCGCGCCCCACACGAAGCGGATGCCGGAGACGCGCCGGACAAGTGTCGACCGTATACTGTTGTGTGTCTCGCGTGTACGCGCGCAACGGTTATCGAGCGGGTGACCGCCGCGTACGAGAACAGCGTAATATGTTTTTCTCCGGTTCCGCCCACCTCCTCCTTGCCCGCGTTTTATTCCTCTAGAAGCACCTAGCCGATAGCGGGTTGGGTTAGTGTTAAGCGTGCAGCGTAGCTTTTGTCGCGTTATTCCTTCTTATCCGGTACGAAGGAACATTTACGACGGTTGTCGTCCGATGGCGACGGCACGAGCCGAGTTCAAGTCTCCGCGCTCGCAGCGGTAGCCGAGACGTCGTCTAACTTAGCTGTAATGCGCGCAAACTGCGGCCACGGTTTCCACCGGGTCCTCTCAGCCGTTACCGTCCGCACAACGATGCGTCCACGGTCGATCACTGCGGATTCGACTAGCATTTCCGATCGTTGTGTCTCGCGCGCGCGTCTCTCTCCGCGTACGATTCGTATCGGATTGCGCCGCCGACGCGTTTTCACAACGCTACACCTCACCGCGAGTTTCTGGACTGCGGTTTCCGTTCGTTTCGTGTCTCCATCTCGTCGCTCCTGACGCACATTACGTAATGTAACGTTTTTTTTTTGTGCTGTTCTACGTCTCGACAGAGCCGGTTCGGCCACATCACACGAAGTACTGTCGGAGACACCTGTTTTTTTTTTTTTTTTTTTATTTCACTTACTCGCATTTATTACACACGATAATACATCCGTATACGGCGTACGAGATTATATTCGTTCGTGATCCGATTGGCGTCGAGTTTTTACGACTTTACCGGGAAACGTTACGGCAAACATAAACGGGCGTTGTGCACACTGGTTTCAGAAAACGCGTTTTTGTAATTTTTTTATTTTTTATACAAGTACACATATATTTATATAGAATTTCGACGAAAAATAATGCGTTTCAAAAAAAAAAAAAAAACAATCGCTATTTATTGAGTACCTAATTTTCAGAATTGAGATTAATAATGCCGCCTCGGGTGTATAGCGGTGGAGAGCGGACGCGCGTCGTCGCGTTGTTATTATTGGTTCACGTTCTCCACAATATACGTATACTGATTTATGTGTCAATGCTGGGCCGTTACCATCATCGATTTTTCTCGTCGTGTTTTTTCATTAGCCATATTATTATGATAATAGTAATAATATATTGTCTACACCAGCGATATTCGGTACCGATTGAAAATAATCGTGATAATCGTCAATGTGGAACGCTAACGCTCGCGCGTCTTTTAGAAATATATAGCCCATGAGTTTATGGCGATGAAAAAAAAAAACAACGCACCGCGCGACATTTTTTTTCTTTTGTATATACATTTCCCGTGTTAAACTGGAAAAATTAATGAGCCCAAAACCACGGGACGGCGGTGACTTAACTGAATTATCGAAACCGAAAACACTGTCTTCTGTGTAAAATAATATACGAAACGGAAACCAAGAGAAAAATGATAAAATCATACAATCTCCCCAGGTGTTGTTTTATGTTGTGCTTACGCTACAACGGTGGCAACGGAAACCATCTCTCGCAAAAGTTATTCAAATCGCTCGCGGCCGCTTCTTGTATTTTCCCTGAGTGTTATGTTAGTATAAATATGTATTGCATCACACACACACACACACACACATACACACACACGTATAAGATCTCGAGTGGCCGTACATGAGCAAACAGCCTTAGGTGACTAACTGACACGACCCTTCAAATCGGGATTAACGCAATGTATCCCCGCCAGACTTCGATAACTCCTCTTACGCGTACACACATAAATATAGTGTGCGCATATCTAGCAAATGGGTTTCGCGTATACTTTATGAACGTATAAAATGACATTGTAACAATCGTTGTACGTGTGTGTGTGTCACTACCAATGTCGGTACATGCAAGATATGGTGTGTAAAACATTTTACGTATATCGAAAAACATGCGTCGTATTTTGTAAATATTATAACATTCGACTTGCTCGTTGATCTTAATTATTTATTTTTCGTTTTGTTTTATTCCAGCCGAGTTGAAAATGGACGTACTCCGTGAGAGGGAAGTCAAAGGAAGTCTAGAACGACAGTTGGTCGACGCCCAAAAGCTGCGGGGTAAGTGATGTTTTCGTATGCACTTGAAATCTCATTTTCCGTTTATTATTTATACAAGTACTCTGCGCCCTTTTTGTTTTTCAAACAACTCGTGAATTTTTTCCACTAAACTACACTCTGTGGGGTGTGTGGTTACCACGAGTTGTTCGTATCTTAGTGCCAATGTAAATTCGTTGAGGGTGGTCAAAAACTCTGAATCGTACTGATGAACAATAAATTTGAGTATCCTGTTTAGGATTAGGTTACACGTGCTGCTGCTAATTTACAGACGCGCACATATACGAATACAATACGTATAATATTATATTATATACATAAACGTACATTCGATGAACCTTGACTGACCGTCTGTTTGACACAAAAACTAGAGTTCCATACACACGCCACGCGATGTGTATACATATTGTATACGGTATATGTGCGCAAACACGTCCAGGAAAAAAAAATAAAATATATAAGATGTACATTCGAGAAATATAATATCTTCCGACCGAGAGGAGTATATATAGTATTACAACAACAATGAGGGGGTGTATTTCATTCGAGTATTAGCATAAAACAAAACAAACTGGCCACCGGGATTTCCCCATACGGATTTCCGAATCGGTTGACAGTGTGTAAACGTATATGTCTCGTCTCCATTTGTGCGGACTACCCAAAAGCTTCGTCTTTCTCTTTCTCCTCGTTGTATTTATATGTATATATATTTGTGTGTGTGTGTGTGTGTGTGTGTGTGTGCATACGAGTATATATTATATTGACCAGTCCATTTAGTGTATTAGTCATATCGGATTTCATGGTCAAGAACTAAACACAACGTTGACAAAAACAAAATCATTTCGATTTTCCTTTCACCTGAAATGCGCGTACGTAACCCGATTCGCTATATTACTGCATGGGGTGTTGGAGAGAAGCTTTTAGGCTTATTATATATATATACATGTATATGTCAATAACCTTCGGATCAGGGCCCTTATAAGTGTTGTGCATCTCTGTGTGTAAGTCTCTGTGTGTATTTTATTTTTTTCGCTCTTTCTCTATCTCTCTCTCTCTATCTCTTTAAACGTAATCCATACCGACTGATTAAGTTTAATTGGCCGATCGATAATTTCTTGTTCATTCGTCCTGAATTCCGAATCATCTGCGCTCTCTTCTTACTCGCTTGTTGTTTATTATATACGACCACTATACGAACAGAGTAGTGAAACTGATGGCGGGGAAAATCGGAGGAAAACATTCGTGGAAGGAGGACAAGGGGTTTCATTAAGGAAACGGCTGAGTGGGCGACAGCGATGATCATCTCTTAGAATTAAACACTAATTAGATCCCAAAGGGGCGGTGGGAACGCATAAATCACTCTCCGCTGATTGGACAATTGACAGAGACATAGTTGATTGGCAACACTGATCGTGTGCTAACGAGGCCAAACATTAATCCGTCTCCTATTCATCGCAGTCCCTTGTATATATAGTATATTATTAGAAAATACAACGTCTGGACCGTTCCGATGCATGAAAGGTAAAGTTAACAATATCATGGCCAATCAATATGGCGTTATATTTACTTTTCTCATATTTTTAAACGTAAAACAAACAGAACATTTTGAAAAAATGGGCAAACATAAATTGCGCCCAAAGAAGGAAAACAATTGAAAATTGCGCCAGGTGTTTTTTAGGTACAAATTTCTGTATAGTAAATTGCGCCCAATAGAAATATTATTTTTATAATAGTCATTAAGCATTACCCAGACACCACAAGGAGGCAACTCTATTACTGTCTTCCAAAAAAGTTTTTTTTGGTTAATTTGAAATGAATAAATTAATTAATAAAAATAGGAAAATTAATTTTTTTTTTTTAAATATTATGGTATTAATTATAGTTTTTTAAATAATTTTTATTAAGTTAAAAATGTTAATAATAAAAAATACAGTTATAAGTTATCTGCATAGTATTGAGACATCATCTTCACATATTCAGCTCTCGTAATAGTGTTTTCATTGTACTGTTGAATCATTTTTTCCATTTTTTGAAATTTTCTTTTTGATTTGGTATTTTGAAATATAGGTACAAATGAAATGTATGAACCTATAAGGTTCATTTATACTATTCATTTTTATATAAATTTCAGATTGCAACTCTAATACTTTATCCATATAATTATAAATTTAAGGTTACTTAGATAGTAAATACTATGGGCGCAATTTACTATACCCATTTTAGATCCCTAAAAGTCCCGGGTGCAATTTACTATACCTATTTTAGAACCAAAAAAAAATCCCGGGCGCAATTTACTATAATATTGTACTACTTATTTAATGTGGGCGTGATTTACAAACACCCGAAAAAATCTAAGAGGAGAAAAATGAAGAAAATATTTTATTATATTGTATATACAGAAATCGTTTGGGAATTTCGTTGTTTCTAAATTAAAATATCAGTTTCTTACGAGTGAAACATATAAATAAAAAATATATATACAAACAAAAGAGTTTAATACCTATATATATATTCCTTAAGTATTAGTTTCTTTATGTCAATAAACTTTTATAGTTGATAACTTTGAAATATATTTTCGAACCAAATTAATTTCTTTGTACCGTTATGCAGAAATAAAACACTTTGCGTCATGAAACCGTTTTTACTTAATTCCACCAAATGCCTTACGACATCATGCACCGCCGCCTCCATCGTTCATTGTTTGGGAGTATTACGTTTTAATTAGATAATTGATATTTACTTTTCCGAATGAAAAGAAATTACACCCTCGTAAATTCTCTTGTGAATCAGTCGTAAGTTGGTGGCCTTTTGTTTTACCAAAAGGGAAGGGGGGAAGCACGCGCTCGTTTCAATGTCTTGTACACGACAACTGACAATAAAAACCATTGTCAAGAAAGCCAATGATCACTATACACCGTCTGCTTACGCGCGCACCGTATAACCATATACCCTTTTCTTAAGCTGTATTATTATTACTATTATTAGCCGCCACTGACATTTTCAAAGGTCGTTTCCGCCCCAGGCGGACCATGAAGTTTTTCCTTTTCCGTTTCTCTGTGCCGCATATATAAATACCAAGTCACCGGCCTGTCCCGCGTATTCGTAATAATTAACTCTCGGCCGCGTGCGCGTGAGCCATCGCGATGGCACGTGGAGCGAAGGATACGAAGGATATTGATATTTTCGTGTTGGTCGTATTACGTCCAATGAAACAATTACTATTATTATTATTGTTATTATTATTATTATTATTATTATTAAGAAACGCCGGCAAGGAGGGAGTTTTTGGGGGCTAAAAGTGGAGATCAAAAAGAGATATGGAAACGTTTTAATAATAACGATGGGCTTCGCATTTAACCCTTTTTTCTTCCGCGTCCCCCGTAATTAACCGAAGACAATGGAAGGGAGATTGGAAGCCATCCGTCGTTAGTACACTGCCGTGTGCATGGCCATCAATATTTTTTCCTTCGGGTGTGGAATGCAATAAATGTAATTAAAGTGTGCCCGCCGCTGCCGCCGCCACCACTACGATTTCCCGGCGGTTTCGTCCGAAACAATCGAAATTTATTTTATTAAAAACCATTTCAACTGTGTGTGTGTGTGTGTGTGTGTTTTTCGTTATACGTTCTACTGACGAGTCGACGTTTATGTATACATGTATTTATTTATTTTTTTTATGTTTTGACCGAGGGTAAAATTCCTGACCCTCTTTTCTACTGTAGCTAGTAATTATTAATATTGTGTATAATAATTTCCAGATATTAACATGACGATAAAACGCGCGCCGTGATGAGTTCATAGGAAATCATTAAACTAGTACACTTATTCGTAATATTATGCACATAGGGCATTGGCTTTTGTTTCTACGTTAAAAAATTAAAAATATCGGCGTGTTTGGGTCTATACGTTGTAGACTACGATAAAATAATAACTAATAAGATCTGAGGCATCGAAATTTCAATTCCTCATTGTACGCAATCGTCATCGTTTTTCGTGTTTCGTATACAATTATTTCCACACACATTTACTTTCGGAACCATCGCGGTCTGTTCGTATGTTCATACATTTTATTTAATAATTTGACTTCCCATTAGAGAACAATATCGATTTTTCGTACGTTCATAATACACTTTCGTCATATATTTCTGTATTTTTTTCTTGATATTATACTGCAAATCGTCGTACTATTAGATTATATTTGGTAATAGTATAGGTACTATCAGTCGTACGTCTATTACACGTAATTAATCGTTCGATTAATATTTGCGTCACTGTATAGAATCAATTGCTATAAATCAGCGATGACGGAAAACAAACAAACTTGTTTTTACTGTGTATCTGTAGTTCGTCTTAAGTTTCGTAGTATTTTAATACCCAAATATAAATGGCAAGAACCAACATTTAGCCGTGTTCCGATTAGTCGTGTTACAGCAGCAGCTGCTGTTAATATTTTATTTGCAAATTTGTGCTTTTTTATTTTTTTAACCATAATGTTGGTATCGATTTTATGCATTCCGACAGAATTTGCAATTAACACACCCAAGTCAATTACTAAGGGATGGGTGGGCGAGTAACTCAAGGGGGTGTCTAGTTACGTTTCACAGGCATTTCCGGTCGGCCGCGTGACATCTAAAAATTCGCTTCCGTTCGCCAGTCACGTATACGAGCATCGAACGTCGCGCGTACTTTTAATGCCGTGTCGCCTCGACGATCGTCGGAGTGGCAGGGCGAAAAAGTTTATGTAATATCGTTCGACGAGACTTAACCGCCGCAAATATTCAAACATGAATCATCATTACCGAGCTTGGCACGCACGGTGCATCATAACCATTTGCCTCGCGCAGTATAATAATAATATGTATAATATAGCAACGGGCCCCCCTGTACTTCAAACGCCGTTAAGGTTTAAAAAACGAGGGCGAGAAACGTAGAGGTACAGGAAAGGTAGAAGGAGAAGAAGAGTCGTCATTTTGTCGTTATCGATGTTCTTGGTTTAGAAGAGA